CCCCAAAACCCCAAAACCCCAAAACCCCTATTATCAAAGCAAATATTGACTGGATTGTTTATTCAATTATTACATTCGTGAAGAAATTAAGAAAGCCCTCTCTTATCTATAGTGAAACTAATCTTAACATCTTCTGTAGCCTTCTTGTGGAGAAATACTCTGACTCTGTAGTCCTTCTCTCTGATTATACAGAAGGAGGCATTGGAGTTTTCTTCGAGATCTCTGCTAGTCTTAATGATTTTGCCATTTGAAAGGGCCAACTTTTCACCAAGATATTTAAAGAAGTCCTTCCTCTCACCTTTCTTTGCAAATATGTCAGAAGCAAGTTTAATTTCCATAATTTCATCAATGAGTCTAGAGGTCTGTAAGGCTTCTGATTCTTCAAGATCGCTTGCTATGGTCGCGCAGTCATCGGTGTCTTCACGAGTCTCTTGAAGTTCATCAAGAATTCCATTCATCTTTAAAATAAATGCATCTGCCTTGTTTTGGGACTCATCATAGTCAGAAAGTTTGAGGTCAAATGGTTGTTTCGGATCTTCAGTTTTCACTTGATCTTCAGATTTCACCAAGTCATCAAGGTTTTCTTTGGTAGTTGGCTTATCTTTAACATCTTTCTTGGACTCTTCCCTATCAGCACTTTCTTTACTAGTATCTTCAGAAGATGACTTAAAGGCTGCTTCAGGAACAGGAGTTGCTTCAGGACCAGTAGCTGCTTCAAGACGAGGTGTTGCTTCAGAACGAGACCCTGCTTCAGGACGAGGCTCTGCTTTCGAACTAGGTGTTGGCTTACTAGATTTCTTCTGATTCGGTTTAATATAATTCCTGATTACCTCCAATTGTTTCAGATTTTCAAGTCTCTTCCTTTCTCTTGATGAAGACTTCTTGCGGATTTTCTTCGGTTCAGGGCTTCCAAATCAAGGTGAGGGCTTCTCTTCGTGAATTTTATCAGCAGAATCATTGGTGGCATGAGTCTCTCTTCTTGTTGGTGCCTCGCTGGTCTTCTTTCTCTTTGTCTTCCGAGATGGCTTGACTTTCTTCCTACCTTTTTCTTTTCTCTTTTTGATTCTCTAAAAATAAGTCATGCTTAGTGAAAAATGTCTAGACTAGAGACTCAACTGGGAAAAGCCATCTTTAGGGAAGATTTCCTTCAGGATGGTTCCTGGGCTACTTACCGGCTGTCTTGTGTTGCTTTCGTCAACTTTATGTAAAGAAGAACGTTTTGACTTTTGTACTGGCATTTGTGGATTTTTATATTTCAATTTTAGGTGAGTTTTTAGGGGTTTTGGGGTTTTGGGGTTTTGGGGTTTTGGGG